TGCAAAACACAATCTAGACTTGTCTGCGCCACTTGAGTGACGGGCGCGTGGTTTGGGATTACTATTTCATAGGGGTTGTCAGCTTGGTGAATTGTAAGTATTATCTAGCGTGCGTTTACAGCAACCATTCTTTATTTTTATAATTATATTGTAATTATTTTCAGTAATTTTGAAAATCACAAGTTGGATGTTGCTTAAATCTGTCGAAAAATGTCAACCCCTCACTCATTTTAGTTAGTTGTACCTGTTACAAAAATGGACTAGACATAATAACAGTCGTTATACCCAGTCATTTTCAAACTGCAGTTGAAAAAGTAATTCGATCAAGGAAGGCACTTTTGATTTGACAAAATCCATCAAACCATTATAATCGAGTTTTCCGTCTGTGTATTCCTGACGTACTCACAGCACCAGTAATGTAAAAACAACTTTTAGTTTGGCGCGTTAGTTTGAATGCATAAACAACATATAACCTGTTAATATATGGTAACCAACGCGTGTCGTTTTGAAAACAGCGTTTTACCCGCATCTTGCAAGATAATGGAATGATTTCAATTGTGGGCGTGCCAATACAACGGCGCCATCAAGTCTAGATTGGAAAAGACCCAAGTGTTTTGCAAAGTTCCAACATATATTGCTAACTGACTGTCCGAATAATTCTCAGAACGGCTGTAATATCGAGGCCTGAAGAACAGTCACTATAGTAAACATGCATGCAACAAAAAGCATGCTGGAAACACATATGTATATTGTATGGTGTATATATCAAAAAAATGAAGAGTGAATTTTCTTATCCAATCCGATCATTGTATTCAATCACATTCAATCATATTAAAAAGTAAGTTTGTTTTCTAGTAGAAACATGAGTATAGTGTTCATATAAGTGCTGTAGTGACCTAATTTCTATCGATAAATTATAAGCCACTTAAATCAGTAAAATAGTGCAGATAGATGGTTTGATCCAAGTTTAAAGGAAAAATTTTATAAAATTGTCTTACCACATAGGAATAATATTAGAGAATACAGAGCCTTGAAATTAGCAGTAACTTTAGTGTTCTGTAGACACTTGGACTACCAAGTCTTGTCTTAGGGCTACCATTTATCTAAATTTAGTAGCTAGACTGGACTAGTCAAAATTTACAAAATAATGACACATTGTTTTTTACATTCACCAATTAGTTTCACAAGTTATAGGGTGTTTACTACATAAATTGCCAATGTGACATTCATTTATTTATTTGTATTCTTACATGTTTGCATGGTTCTGAGTGACTACCAAACCAGATTGTCATTAAAGCGCGGCTCCGCAATCCCAGGAATTGCACCAGTGCATCATGGGAAATGTAATTTGCATGGTCCGCCCAGTTGTTTACTTGGTACACAGCTGTTATCATTTCAACTGAAGGCGTTAATTCCGTAAGCTAACGTCATGCATTACGTTATTATCTGATTTGAAAGGACTTGCCGAATCCCGTTGTTCGACGTTCACTGGGCCTACGCACTCTTTTGAAAGCCGTTTTCTGTGTTTGTTTCGCTCGTGGTCGGCTGTAAAGCACAATTTCTGTAAATGGCGTGACGGCATTGTAAGGTTCTCTCTGAATTGAGCTCATGCCTTTGCTTTCTTGCTATTGTACTAATATGTTACAAGTGCGACCTTTTTATACAATGTATTTATTCATTCACTCGCTGCTATTAGCGTCGTTTATAGTATTGGACGATGCTCGGACGACGAAATGCGTGGACTGACGAAAGATACATCCAGCGCAAGTCACAACTTATGAGGGCTGATGACGTTGTGGTCACACAAA